TTTATTTAAAAAATTTTGCAAATAATATATTTTAATTTGAAATAAGTATCTATGATAGTAATTGTATTATTCCTCCATGGAAATATAAAATAACTTTTCTTTTAAAAAGGTACAATCATATTATCTTGATATTTTTAATAATATATTTATATTCATGTAACCTTGAACTTTGTTTTCTGAAATTTCATCAATATTAAATAAGTAATGGAAAAAATGGATTTTTGAGATAAAATAAGACTTTCTCTTTGTAATTAATGACATCTCTGTATATTTTAAATATTCTATTCAACCAAGGATTTAAGCAAGAACAATAGCTCCAAATTAGATACAATAATTGCACAATACTGTTACTTGGATTCATAAAAATACTTGGATTATAGGCTTTACATAAACAAAATAATTCTTTTATAAGGTATTAGCCTTTATGATAGGTAATCAAACCTTATAATAGAATTATTTTATTTACTTGAATATCGATATTTTTATGACTTTGACATTAAACCAAAATATGGAAAATAAAATACATTAGATATAGTACTTACTCACTATGTCTAATATATCTTATATAAAATTCTTATTCACATGGTTTAATACAGTAAAAAATTGTTATCACTGAATATATTTACGAAAACAAACGAATTAAAAAAAAATTAAACGAATTTAAACATCAAAATTGATAATTCATTTTTAATTTTAATTATCAGTTTCATGTTTGTTTTTAGAGTAGTGTATGTATATTACAACTAATAACATGTCTTTAAAACGGAGAGAAAAACCGTGAATATATTTACCATAATGAACGCAATAGACTACCGGAATATTTGTGCACTTACTATAATTTATTGTCGTATACCTATCTGGAGAAAATCACTGAGTTATATCGAATGACAGGCCTGAAACTTCGACAATAAGTAAGTTGAATACTTTAAGTTAAATGGTTCATATTTTCCCCAAACAGAAAATTGTATTTTTAATTATAGGACACAACCCTATTCTCTCTGTTTACCAGGCAAGGAATGTGATGTCAAAATATATATCAATTATTAAAAATTACATTACAGTTTTACCAGCCAGGTTATCAAGCAACATAAAAATAAACTAGAACCACAGAACATGTATAAACTTAGCAGTACAGTAACTAGAATCAAACGAGTAAATTCATAGAATTACAGAGACTTGCGCTCTCAAATAAAAATGCTAACACTCTAATAAAGCGTATATATTCATCTCCAGAATTAGCTGTGGTTAGTTACCATGCTGTTTAGTTAATATATTTATTGTACTAGAGCTGCTTTGAAATATTCCTCTGAGAATTCCTTTACGAGAGCAGAAAGATTATTTTTATTTTCCATTAAAATTTATTCTTCTTCTTGAGGCTTTCATGTAAAAAAATTGAATGCCTGAACGAACAATCTGTACAACTGGGTCATTAAATAGGTATATTAAATAAATAAAAATTTGAGCTATTGTTTTTAATGGAAGTTATATATTTCAAAATTACTTAATTAGATTTTCAGTATCTATTACAAATATGATACCCATACAAAATAAAATGTGACGAAATAATCACTTTAAGGAAATAAATAAAACAGGACAAATTCTTTTAAGAATACACAAAATTTACCTACAGTGCGTACTTGCGGGCATATGCCATCGCACAATTTTTTTCACAAAAGTGTTTCAGTGATATCTCATCAAATCACTTTTTTCCCGCTTCCAAATCGATACCATTTCACTTGTATAGGTTGTGAGAAACAAAAAATTACAGTTTCACAATACCTTAGGTATTTCATATTGACCCTAAAAAAAGATATAGATATATAAATTATCAGTTTATTTGCATAAGCCGACAGGGAGTTGAGATTTATTGACCTTTATGTAGGAGATAGATTGACAACCTGTCTCTATTCGCAGCAATAAGTGTCAGGAAGATCGATGCACCAATTTCGAGTATTTTCCAAATATGGCTTCTGTTTAACCTCATTCATCTAGTGGATAGATTATATAAATGAATGAAGTCGTTTTAAAATAGAAATAAATATGAAGTAAATCTTCTCTTTGATACAATTATTATCTCATACACACATACATTTTAACACCATTTCTTAGGCTGTATTTGTTATTGCAAATTACCTAATAAAGTAATTTTGATTGGATGCCTACTAGTAACTTAAAGTCTCTTACCAAAAAATATACGCAAGTATTATGGCCAAAAAATAAAGTCATAAAATTTGTATTTGATGACCAAATATACACTAAATGAATATCAAATATTGAAAAAAACCAAAAAGCGAGCAAATTAATACGCTATTTCTGCTCCAACAATCCTAGTGGATTGCCATAAAATATTTAATATAAGTATAATGATGTCTAATTATGACTCTGGCTTATAAGCCCCCAACTGAAACCTTACTCAAAACTGATTCTTCCGTTAAAATTATTATTTTTCATTTTCTACACTGACCTAAACGGAGATCGAACCCGGGACCACACAGAACCAACGTGTGATTTACTCGGTCACTAATCACTATACTATGATATATATCACTATAATACCTATAATGTTATAATCTCAAAAAATAGTATCAAGCTTTTGATAGTCTAAACGTATACTATAAAGCCCTTTTATTAATGGCATCCAAGAAGTATTCCCTCACTTGTTGCCTATGGTACCACTGGCGATCTCTGGCAGGATGCCAACCGATTTATGTTCGTGTTAACTCAAACCGCAATGTTATATTTATGTGTTTGCCTTTATTTATATCGCAAATATGGACTTGCGTCGTCGTAATGATATTAGATTTTAAATGTTTCGTAACACATTGGTAATAAATAAGTAACCTACCAAAGGTAAAGGGTAAAGCTAATAATAGGTACTGACGTTGCAATTATGCATAATCAATGCGTTATTATTATTTTAGCCAATGTGTTTCTCTTTTAATTTTAAATATTATTTGTTTAAGTGTTGTTCGTAAAGAATTTCTGTTATTCAAATAAATTATAATAACGTAAGATTACAAATAATTCAATCGGGAAATTTAACTCGTCATTAATTGTATCTAGGCGAAATTGTGTAATATTAGCGCTATGACAAGAGTTCTAAGTGAGACAGATAATATTGGTATTCTTTTAAGAGCAAAGAAGCCATTAAAAACTGCAGTATTTTCTATAATTATTATTATATGATTCTTTTTATAATTCATATTATTTAAGCAATGTTAACCCTGAGACTTTTGGCCTCGAAGAGGTATTTCTATGTTTTAACGTTAAAAACAACTTTACTATAGATACGTTATTGCACACAGTCTGCATAAATACATTTAAATAAACTTTGCGTGTACGGGACACATGTCACTGTTGACGGTTGGATACACGTGAGTTCTAAAATCAATATGTATTGCCTTCTGTTATCTTAAACGTTGTTTGCTTACAGATATCCTATTGATATAACACAATGAACTCTGTAGCTATTTTGCTAACAAATTCTTATATTTATCAAAGTAAAATCTGAAAAGGAACAGAATTTGAATTTGAAGAGTGCTATGTTGGATTCATTTTCTTGTTTATATTGATGCCTAAATATACTTTCAAATTCAAAATAGACGTTAGCCATAAAAAGATAGTAATCGCCGAATTCTACTCCTCTTAGCAAGAGTAACAAAATATATCCTATTATTTATCATCAAAATAATAGACACATTAAAAAGACTGTGACTAGGCATGGCTTTATGTAATTTGATATTCAATAAACAGCATAGGGACAGGCAATACTTGTAATTTTCAAATTTTTCCAATCCTCTTTAGTAGGTTACGCGGTCGCTAAACTCAAACAAACATTTTTAAAATACAGCTGTTAATAAACTAATAAGACCATTAAACTTATCCAAAGATTTCTAATTGTACTTAACGGAAACTATAATTAATTTCAAATATGGGAGGAATATCTGAGCAGACCTAATAAATGAAATTCAGCCAATACTATAATTTAATCCATAAATTCAGCTTGAAATGATTTAATAAATTAGTTAATCTTTACAAAAAGCATATTATTGGCCACAACTTTTTTTTTTTTTGAAGTTCTGGATAGCCACGTTTTCCAATCGTCTGAGCAGTTTATTGTAATGTTTTATATTTAAAATAAATATCATATTATATTTCATCAATTTCACATTCACAATGCTATACTGAATAAAATATGCTTATAAAATCCACTTGGTCCCTGGCATAAATAAATATCTTGCCAATTTTTAACCACCTACCCGTAAAGGTAAACTCAAATTTCAACCGTTACAAAACACTTGCCCATTTTAGACGAGCTCTTGTCCTACTTGCTACTTTAATTAAAATGTTCTGTGAAATATTCTAGTTGCTAACTGAAAAACATCCATTTAGTTACAATAAAACATGCAGTGTTGTGCATAAATATCATATGGGTGCAACAAGGACGGAAGATGAATCGCTTCCCCCCTTGATTAACTACTCAAAGAGGAATGCTATTTGTAATCCCAAATTACTTGCCAGGGAATTAATTAATAGACATCTGGTTCATTTATATTTGTGATAAAGTTAGTAAATATGTAATTGAAATCGATGATGTTCACATGTCTATTAATATACAAATTGACAAGATATCGCTAACCAATATATTAAACAACACAGCCATATGTTAATAATTTGTAAAAATATGAACGTTCAATTATCATTTATAAAAGTCAAGGTTTTATTTAGATTATTTGGATAAAACGCACTCTAGATTAAAAACAGTATTTAAGTAATCGGAAAACAATTTGAAGTCTTACTAAGTACCAATATTATAAATGTGAGTTTGGATTCCTCACGCAAAAACTACTGAACGGATTTTGATGAAATTTGATTTATCTATAATTCTAAGCTTGGATTGACATTTAGGCTACTATTTATCCCACCAAACATTTCCTTACAGACCACGCGGGCGAAGCCGCAGTCGGAAAGCTAAATAAACCAATTACAAATGTAAAATAATTTATTTTAATTATCTTAAATTCATACATACAGCTAAAACTAAAATAATAAATAACTTAAAAATTAAGCAGTCTTTCGATTTATATTTATACTAAATTTTAAGTTCAATCAGTTTGTATTGAGATTATCAAATTGTTCATAGAACGCTTTCGCTGATTCCAAAGCCATTTGTATATATTTAACGTCGCAAGGATTGACGTCGAAAAAATAAGCGCCGCAGTTTAATGACTCAGAACAGTCTCCGTTCATTACGTTCTCTTTGCAGCAGCCGAGTATAGCCCTCGCACACGGTGTCAGATATATAGGATTAACATTTGGTGTATCAACGCCACTTCTAACTCGCAGTAGGTAGTTTAATTCTTCGAAAGAGAGATTAGCCGGGCTCCTGATGGTGTCGACGCCTCTATCATTTCCTTTGACCTCGGCTGGGGCGCAAATCACATTACCGATTAGTGCCGCGACGATAGTAATCACTGCAACGCTTGTCATATCTGAAAATAAATAAAAAACTTTGTTGTCACAAGGTCTGTGATTTTAACAATGGAATGTGTACACTGTACAATGATATGACATTAGAGTAAGGTGACACGGAATAAGAAATATCTCGTAAAACAATACACTTATTGGTGAATTTAATAATTTGTATATTTATGGAACTTTATTTTAAAATAAAAAAGTGGAATAAAATAAAATAAATAAAAATAGATTTTTTTGCATTCACCCATTTGTTAGTCGTTTCAAGTATCTATGTTAATATTATAAAAAGTATGATTTATTTGTTTGTTTGGATTCTATAAGCTCCAAAAATATTTTCACCTACGGAAACATTACCATTACATCATACATGGGAGACAGACTATATAATTTACACGAGCGAAGTCGCATTGAAATGGCTACTAATAAATAAACATACTTTATGATAATATTTTAACATAGATTCCCTTGTTAAATAATCGAAAGTTGAATTGGTCTTTAAATCAGATATAGAGTACGTTCATTTTTAAGTGTAAAAGTAGAAGCAATCAATTAATTAATCACTTCAAATAATAATAGTATTTACCACGTATATTATTCACTTAAGACGCAGCTTCTCTGTATAATTGAAATTAACTAGGTAATATTTTAAAAGACGACATTGTAGGCCATTTAACCCAAAAGTTAATTTAGTAACAAGGCAACTTGAAGCATATAAATTATCTTCCTGGTTTCAAAAAGTTGTCAAGGAAAGTCTCCGTTTCATATTTCAACCTTAATAAATCATTATAAATTGCTCGATTACATTTGCTGAATGGATTGTGTATTTTAGACGCTCGTAGTGTGAACTTCTATGCGTATATTTCTACATACTAAAATGCGACGACAAAGTTTAAATTAAAAAAAAAAAAAATATCAAAGAATATACTTTCTTATGATTTTATGACATTCAAACATCCAACGCGCATTTTTTGTAAATAACTACTTTTGCTAAATTTCATACTTCTGCATCCATGCAATCGTAAAACGAGGTCCAAATAATTATATTTCAAGTATTAATTTAATGATATGTAAATTTAATATATTTAATAAATCAGTCATTTTTATAATACCGTTTTGGCGTTTTCATATACGAAATTTGTGTTTATAAATTCGGTAGTAAGTGAACACTAAATTCAGATTAACAATTTAAAAAATATAATCATAATAAAAGATATTTTAATACAATTTAACTATGCTTTGGGGTTAAGTTGAAGGGTACTACATACATAATATTTTCAATATCTGATCCTGTATTAGAAAAGGACCTTAAAAGGTATAATTCAAAATTAAATTCCATTGTTTTGAAGTAAAAACTCGTATACTCGTCGTATTCACATGTATTCAAAGCATTCCTTATTATGCCAGTGAACTATGCCCACGTGATAAGCGATGCGTCTACACATGTATATAAACGCAATTGGTTTTCCCAATCGAAAACGACACACCGTCTAAGCGAATGAGTAATATCTGCATATAATTTTATGATAAAGTGGACTTTATCACATAACAACTATTAAGTACACTTTTAAACGACGCATAAAGATTTGAATGAAAGATACTGCAAGAATTACATAAACAATCTAGTTTCTTTGACTAAAACTCGTTAAAGTCGATTTTAAAATGATGTTTTCTTATAAATAACGTCAGGGTCATTAGATTTTACGTCACACGTTACGTCTAAATAGGTCAAATAAAGACTGATGTTTGTTTATATTTACGGACTTTCGGTCTGCAATGCAAAGGTTAGGTAACTTTCGTATAAGCCAGTCACTGGATGGGTGACCGAAAATTTATTTTCTCGAGGAGGAGGTGTTTCGGAAGCCACATAAATCAAGCTGTTGTTTCTGATCTTATTTACAGTAATCGCCACTAAATCGAATGGGGTCTGAGTGGTAGGTTGTGGCCCATTCTACCTATTTTGAAATTATTCATAGAGAAGACCTGTACTCTAGTAGTTGGGATATTAATAGACTGATGGTAATGATCAAATCAAATCAATCTTTATTGTTGATCACAGGTTATATAAAGATATTGGATACAAGGACTGAATAGTTACACCGTGATCTGCCTAAAAGGCATACACGGTGGCAAAGGCAATGATGATGTATATATTTATTTAGACGTATATCACTTCTCCGAATAAGCTTCAATAAATTCAAATATAATAAGGATAAAAAATATTGTTATATAACATCATATTTAAATTAAATGCAACTAACTAAACCTTTGCATTAGAATTATAATGATTATAATGCATAATTATGTGCATATAACAAAGCACTTGTAATATTCTGAGTCACTTAAAAATAAGAGTACTGGTTACAGAGCTACTAGACAATGAATATCAAATACCCTTTATAAAACCGCAGGCGATCATTTTCTCTAAAATGCTTTATATATTCATCGAATAGCGAAACATAAGCGATTACTTACTTGTTATTTAGATTTCAATGTATTTCCTCTAATATAATCTTAATGATCCTTGACACGGATTAAATCACTATATTATTTCACAAAACGTCCGCTTGTCTGCTGATCTGTGGACTGTCTGAATGCTTCTATTATATTACAAAGTTCATATAGTGTTATCGTTGAGTTGTATTTCAAAAATGGAAAAGTTGTTTTTTTATTTTTTTTACAACAAGCAACGATATTCTTTCTTAGTAAAGCCGTATATGGGTTTTACCCGTCTGATCATAAGCTCGTGTGCTGTGATAACGTCGTTCATTGATAGTTTTTCGATTATAAGATTTATGTTAAGGTATTTTTAATGAACCTGTCCCCGTTTCGTATGATTATGATTTTTTTTCATATAAATGTAGGGGAATACTTGTCTTTGCTATATCACATTGTCGTCATCATGTGACTGACTAATATTGTTAGAATTTGATGTTTTATCGTCATCATCCTCCTCGGCCTCCCGGCCTCCCCCATGGATCTACAACTATCGATCCTGCGCTGTCCGTATCCAACTGCTTCCCGCAATCTTTATCAGTTTTTCGGTCTAGTGGAGGACGTGCTTATTAATGTGCATCATCTGGTGCACGATAGTATTTCTAGAACATTTTCGCCTCAACCGCCATCGGCTCTTCTCATTGTGTACCGTTTACTGCCACTTCAGCTGAACAATATTTGACGGCTTTTTTGATAAAAAATGTTTGGCCATGTACCTTCATGGCTTTTATGTACGGGTAATATTTACGAACGCATATATGGTTATTTTAATTTTACCGCTTACGTGTATTCTATTGATATATAAGGTATCGTAAGACAAACACTTCGACCACCGCGTAACAGATTCGACCCAATTGAATCTTCTGTCTTCATTTACCACAGTTTATGTTAATAATTAGTAATCATTATTGGACAACAGATTATAACTGAACTTAGACAAAGATAAGAAATGACGATTGTCTAGAACTGTTCATGCTATCAAAATTGAAATAGCACATGAAAGTATTCCTCTGGTGCCCAAAAATTACAGACGCAGTGATAATTAAAGACATCCCGATACGTGTCATATGACATAATCCGTTTACTAAATTTACTCGATCAGTAGGACAATGGAAAGTCAATAGAGCTTTAACTACAACCCTTTATGACAGTTCTTGTTACTAGATATCAAAATAATGAAAATATCAGCATTGATTTGTGAGAAAGATATTCCACCACTAATAATGGACTTCAGGAAGATAGTACAAAGACAAAACGCAAGTAGTTAAGATTCTATTAAGATGCGATTATTAAATCAAAATTAGCAAAATTGAGGCCCAGGAATTAAATCCAAAAACGACTTGATGATGCCATACGATATAAATAACATCACGCAAAAACTCTGTGACTATACTTCGCACTTAAACAATCGAAATTTAGTTCACTTTGTACTTTCAATACTATTGTTTCGTATACATTCGATTTTCGTCTGTCGGAAGAAAAATTCGAAACGAATTCAATTTTTGTCTGTTCGACGTTAGCTAGTTCCTTTGGGGATTTTAATATCAGACGTAATCCACTTCTAGTGAATTGTGTTTCCAATTTTCCTTTATTTAAAAATTCTGCTCTGAGTTTCAGTTCATTCTTGGTTGTTTCACAATCGCGTTTGAATGGTGTACCTATAGATAGCTGATTGGCTCAGATGTTTTCGTTCTCAATATTTTCAAAGCAAAAGGTCAATCAAATACATTTTTCTGAAGTTATCCTTCTAATTATGAAGATTTTCTTCTAATTATCTGATAGAATAATTACAAGACGAAATAATTGAAGATAACGAACGATTTTTTCGGTAGAAGCAACAGTAATACCTAAAAAGCCCTAAACTTAGACCAAGTAGGATAAACTCATAAACAGTTATGGTTGACTTTCTTCTGCATTCCCTCTAATTGTAGCCAGATAGTCAATATTAAGTCAGAACGTCTTTATATAATATGAGTATTATTTAAAATTTTTAAAAAAACTTTGCTAATCCATTGCTTGCTATTAACTCTTAATAGATACTACCTGTATTTATATAAACTTGATTTTATATACCAATAAAATACATTCAAATCAATCATCAAGAAAATATGCTTGTGATGTGATAAATATTTTATGATTACGATTACAAGATTCATCAATAACATCGATATGATAAACATGGAGTACGCTCTCAGGCCATTTTATCGCTACATAGTCTATGGACCTATTTCGATAAAAACCTCCTACAGTATATAATTTCGTAACAGAATAGGCTACAACAATCCATAACCCCCGTTATAAAAACTCTATGTTAATTTCAATTACTACGATAAATTCGGTTTTTTTTTTATGTTTAGATATCTTGCAATTAATAAATAAATATTAATAAAGTGAAAAACATCAGTGGCTTCTATTCGATTTGCCAATTTGGCCAGAAAACGACTAAAAATTTGTGAAATAAACACACTTTAGAAATTGCTCAAGAATTCATTTAATAAATTACTAAGTACATATAGAAGTGCATGTGAAAGTCAACTGTTAAGTTTACAACAATGTGTCAAATCCGCAGTTCATTTTCAACTATAATGTAATATATAATATAATATAAGTACATAATCTGACGTGCTATTTACTTTTAAAAATACCTTATTATGTCAGCAAAATAATTATAAACATCTCACTATGACAGAATATAATTTTTTCAAAGGTCCAATTTTAGTGATCTTTAATACTCACTGTGGTGATCAAGGTAAAACATAAAAAAATATGACTTAATTTACTATGCTACTTACATTTAAAGATGAATTTTATATTGTAAAATAATAAACAGTATTGTTAACACAAAAAAGCATAAACATTCAATGCAATTATATAAAAAAAACACTACGCATCTAAATTACAAGTAACTATAGTTTTTTAAATCAACCAAATAACGTCACACAAAAAAAAGTAACGTAATAATGTCAAAAACAATTATTAATGTCCAAACAACACTATTATTTATGTACGTTATTAAAAAACGCAAAACTTCTTAAATGGATACAATTTTTATTATTGCTGAATATATTTGTTATATTCAAGTTGCAAGTCTCGAGTAGATTCACAACTTTAATAAAAAGTGCAATAAAATGTAATAAATTAAGAGAAGCCTTATAGGCAATAAAAACATAATATTTGAAAAAAACATATTAAATTATAATTTGAATATCTATAGACGAAATACTAAATTTATGATATTATGTGGCAAAAATAAAGCTTAAAATAGGAATTGGTTGTTGGTTGCTCAAAATCTAAATAAATTATATCAAGACTATATTGCTATACATTTTATCTAGAATATTATTAACCTATTTATTGGCTTAGTTACTGAACAAAATGCATTTAAATTTAATCTGTTTAGTGACTTACTTTTAATAATTAAGTGCTTTGATAACAAAGTATGATGTTAGTAGGTAATGGAACCTATAAACTTAAATAATTCTACTTACAAAAGGTAATAAGAATATTATTTCTATCCAGATTGGACCAGAAAATGGTTTTTACAGATGATCACCGAATATTTTTTTTATTTTTTGCATCCCTTATTATTATATATGTAAATATCTTGAAAAATAAATATGTGTACGTTATGTATTATTGTACAAGTAGATACTTTAATTCTATATCATCACAGCAAAATACAATGCAAATTTAACATTTAATTATAGTTTTATATAATAAACTATTAATACTAAAACATATTTCATCCACTTCTCTGATTATAAAAGATTCTGAATCTATCAATTACTCGGGCAATAACACTAGGATCACAAGGATTTCCGTAAGAGTAAGGATCTGTGCATCCTTGGACAGCAAAACAGTCGTATGTCACTTGTGGCATGTGGCAGCAACTTAACACTGCAGCGTCGCAAGTGCTGGGTGGCGACAATCTCGAAGTTGTTGGCGCTTGTTGTGGCCGAACTGTTGTTGTTGTTACTGTCAAACTATTAATATCTCCTTGAACACTTCCATGTTCCACAGGCGGAGGAGGTCTGCTCATAGTCCTATTAGGTCTGATCGGCTGAAAAGATATCGGCCTTGCTCCGTCGTTTATATCGGCTTCATTATTATCGTTAGTATCAGTATCGTTAATAACGAATCCCCAGTTCTGTCTCTCATCCTCCATTTCAGGCCACCTATTGTTTACACCTGGGTTGTCTGTAGTCTGATTATTATCCTGAGGTGTTGCAGGCCTATTTTCAGGACGGTTCGGTGTATCGGCCGGTGTGCAAGAGCAGCCTATCTGTGGTATATATAGTACAGGGATGAATGGTGGGAATTGAGGGGGGAATTGAGGCGGGAATGCTTGTGGCGGCAGTGGAGGTACCGGCTGCGGCTGTCTAATGAAGCCGCTTAATTCCTGCAATCTCCTGTGAATCTGGCCGAGTGGATCTTCCAATCCATAAGCGCCAGAGTTCGTATAATCATCTCTTTTATACTGGACTACTGGATTCACAGGAGGGAAGCCGTAAAAATTATACCACCTTTTTTGGCGCTGTCCTTGCATTTCTTGACTATCGTTTTTTTCATCTAATAAAGTCTCAGGTTTTGTCACTTCTGGATCGTCCTTCTGATCAATATCATCATTCTTCGGTTCTGTGATACTTTCAAGCGCCACCTCACTTGGAGCAGTGTAAGCCCATTGAACAAATAGGACGGTGAAGAGAAAACCCTGGTACAACTTCATCTGAAATAAAAGAACAAATAACGATCAATTGTATGAACAGTCGAAAATTTCATGTCATTTAAAGATTGATGTTCAATATCATATATTTTTTGCCACATAAGTTTAAGTTAACTGCCAAGCCAATGACATTCTCAAGGTAAACTTTGAATAAGTTACGCAAAGACATTTGAAATCAATTATAAAAAATAAACATACAGACTTTCAAAACCTTTATAAAATGACTTCAAAACTTTTAAGAGGTTGATAAGTAACATACAATTTTATACAAAGGCCATGTCATCTTGTACCAAAATATACGAGCACGATAACAGAGACGTAAGTAGGGAAAGGTTCTTACTAAACATAGTAGCCTAAATCGTTAACCTCTTGTGGGCTATGGAAGCAACAAGCGAGCGCCATTTTCTTTCTGATTGCTCCCGTGCTAAGTAAATTTTTCCAGGCGAATAGAATGAGGGGTTGTACACTTAACTTTTGTGTGAAGGGTGAGGTCAAATTTATGTAAATTGTACTCTTTAGATATATCAATTTAATTTGTAAAACAGTACATAAAAACTTATATCATGTACTACTTATACTTATTGGCAAACTATCAATTAATTTAAACAGCTTTATTTAGATGTTTATTGTGATATAAATGAAATTACCATATAAAATGATATAAGAATCCTTATGAAGATGTATGAACATTTCGCAATCAAAGTTTCAAATTGAGTTTGTGCTCCTACACGAATTTGTTTTGTTGAATGAGATATTTTGTGTTTAGTTTGTTTTCTGTTCTTCAGACGTTGAACATTTTGACATTGATGTAGAAACAATATGAAACTAAAGCCGTTTAAAAACATAAAAGTATTAAATAAAATAAGTTTTATTTTATAGGCGTCTTTACTCTCGTGAACGATAACATTTATTTTATGACTACTTATTACTTAAACCTGCTGAATTTTATTGAAACTATTACAACAGTAGAAATCTCTCATCGCTTTTGATGACGTTATATCATAAATTGTCAATTTATTATACGGTCATAGGAAAACGCAACATAACAGATTATCGCATAGAAATAAAACGATTTCGTTTTTGTGGTAAAAAACCTATCTCATTCTCCAGCCGCCTAACTACTTCCAACATAAAAATCATACCAAAACGATACCAATTTGCGAAGTGAAAGAAAGATGAAAACACACATTCCTGTTTATGATATTAGTATGAAACAATCTTTTTTTTTTTTTTGCTATCGAAGGAATATATACTTTTTAAAGTACTTATAACATAGTCACGCTCAGCGAACATAAGAGTGTCACTTATAGTCAATTATGACGGGTTATTCACCTTTTGTACATAAGTAGGATACACAGTCGAATTATACTTGACATTAGTCCGTATTCAGGTGCTCAAATATTGATACTCGCATGTGATGGAATATGAGCTAACTGATTCAATAATTTTGAGTTGCAAGCATAGCATTGTTAACATTGGCGTACTCGATCCCTTACATCTTGCTCGTTTAACTGAATACCGTTGACAGTAATTAATATTCGGGTGGCAGATCAAGTGCTATTTCGTCATACAGGGCAAAATGAACCACAACAGATTGTTAATAAAATTGTTCGGTTGTTACGCCAAGTATGAGAGAAAAAAGTTGTCGGATTGTCGCTGTTTTACATTATCTCCAAAAATTACATTCTAATTTACAAATGACGGATAAGTATTTATTTAAATTTCAATCCCAAACTTTGTAAACATAAGGAAAATAGTTCATTGATTAAAAATAGTCACCATCATCATCATCACCAGCCCTTTTACGTCCCCACTGCAGGGGCTCAGGCTTTCCTTATGGATGGTTAAGGAGGATGGGCCATGACCCTCCACGCTGGCTCAATGCGGATTGGAGGGTACTAACGACGGCAAATACAGCCGGGCTCAACCGCTTAACGTGCCTTCCGAAGTACGGAGTAGCTCGAGATAATAATTTTTGGTCACCCATCCCGTGACCGGCCCTTGCAAAAGTTGCTTAACGACTACGATCGCGGGCCGAGGCGCTTATCCATTACGCCACCGAGCTACCGAGCGATAAAAAAATAGTACCTACATGTATTTAGAACCTAAATCCGAACCTGTATCTATTGCAAATAGCAGTATCATTTGATCATAATAATAACAATTCACATTTCGTTTCCGTGACAACGATAAGTCATTATGATTAAAAATAAATTGCCTGTGAAAAATTACATGTGAAATCTGGTTATGACATAAAAATAATTTCATCGTATATAATATGAAATTAATTGAAAAAAAAAATATTACACCTAGCATTTCAATGAATTAATGATAACCGTTTGCAAAAAAATATGTATGATATGTTATTGTTATATTATCAAATAGTTTTATAAAAATCGATCAGTAAACACTACAATACAAAGTATTTTTTCAATAAACCTTGTAGCGACTGAATCTAGACATAAATATAATTATAATTTTATATGAAAAATAACTTTGATTAGCCTTTACTTCATATTCTCTCAATACAAATATTGTTCCGGTTCAAAGAATGTGTACTAATGTTTTAGTGGCTGACTCGTAACCAGTAAGGCGTTTAATCCGCGCTCTCTATTTAAGTGAAAACTGTGACTCTCATACGGCGGTCGAACCTTTCTAAGGTTCCTTTATAACACGCAACTGCCTTATTACAACAAGTTTACAAAAACATATATCCACGTTAACATAGAAACATATCTGCTTTCTTTTGCACTGCTTATAAATAGAAGAATAAAAATCCCCTTGTAAGATTTTACGATTCTAAAAGTTAATGACAATTGGAACAGATATCAGTATATCTGTCAAATTAATAGAAAAAAATCGATATCTTGTCCAAAATCTGTTGAATAAACCTTCAAACAAAGTAAAGAAATAACTATGTATAATAAGATTTATAGCAAAATTAATTTTGTGATAGAATAAAAATATTTTCATACCATTACTAAGTAATTGGATATATAATTATGGTATACAATTGACAAAATATGACAAAAATAAACACATTGTACATCTTTTTATCAATAACTAGCTTTTTACCTTCGACATCGCCCATGTGAATTATACTCGTAGCATATGTATCCCGCGTATATTGTAGCTCGTGATCGGACAAGTATTACAAAAGATTGCCCTCAAGAAACCAATACAACTAAAAACTTTACCCCTTTATAATATTAATATAGACGATTTTAATAAGAAGAAAGATTTTTTAGACTGTGTGTAAAATTATATGCGTAAGAAAGTAGTGAATAAATGAAACAACTTTTAAACGGTTACGTCACGTTATTATTTAGTTTTATTGACGTTTCGGATCCGTTACGTTTCGGACTAGACACATAAGACTAAGGGTGTTGATTGACAATGCATCTTTTTATATTTTAAGGCAACGTTTACATTTATTAAATTAAATTATTTTAAAAATACATTTGATTTGTTTGTTTACCCCTGGCTACCATAATTTATCACCAGTTCCAAATTTGGGAGTCGTGTCTGAGAAGAACTCGTGAAACAAATACAGACAGTAAGTGAATTACTCCTTTTGATTTAATATTTGCAAAATTAACTAACTGTACCTTTTGATTTTACAATGTGTGATCTGAATTGAGATTTTGACATATACTGGATCCCAAGCCGGTGGTATATACTAACCTTCACCTCTATTAAAATTTAAAGTCTCTCGCAATGTAAGACACCATCTACTACCCGTCTATTTAGTAACAGTCCAGTCTAACCTACGGTTGCCTGGCAGAAATTGCTCTTTAGCGATAAGGCCGCCGATTGTACAACTAAACTGTATCAATTGTAATTTCTCTATAATTTATGGTGTACAATAAAGAATTTATTCATTCATTCATTCATTCAAAGTGGATGTTGAGATGACCGCTGATCAAAACCTACAGAAGAAGAATACATATTGCTCCTACCCCAAATAAATATTTATATTAGATTAATATTTCAAGGGCAAGGGAACAATTATGAGATAATTATAATAAGGTTTTCTACAATTGTTTAATTACCAATGCTTACAAAATTGTGTAAAATGTGCGAATACGTTTAACCTTTGCGGTTAGGTAGCGGATAAAGTAAAATAAAACTTTCAAATTATAATATTTGGTTGATTGCCATTTGCAGTGTGACCTTCAAAATGTAGTCACGATATTAATGTTGTTCGTGATGTACAATACGTAGAATGGATAATATCTGTCATAATAATTGATTTTACGGTATAACCATCCATGAGAACCTTATTATGAACTTTATACTTCGATTTTTAGGACAATAATTATAACTGGCAATATAATAAAAACATGTACTAAATTATATTAATTACTGCATTTGCATTATTAATTATATTTGTTCTTAGTATTTATGGAGTAGATTTTATTCAGGATAGAAATTGCTTATTATAATAATCTCAATTTTTAATTTATTATGAATTCAAAAGTTTCACTAAATTCCATTACTTCACTTAATGTAATATTATATCATACATAAAACTATATACAGCTGACGTTCAGTTGCGCACTTATTATGATGTTCAAAATAACATTTCCCAAGACGTAATTACGGCAAAATTAATATTCATAAATCTAAGGAATCATTTGTACGGAAAATGTACATATACCATCATCAAATATGGTAAAGATATTGTACATATTCCGCGCAAGAATCCCCGATTTCATTATCGCAGGATTTGGGTAAAATGTTCTACCCTTTTAGATGGGATGTAAAAATATAATAAAGCCGGTGTCGAGTTAAAATGTGCTCAGTATACGCTTTAAATAACGTTTTCGTTGCCTTGTATCATTTCTATATATACATTTGACATTGCCTTCTAACCCCAAAATGATTGAATAGTTTTATATATATAAAAGGAGTATACACAAACGCTGGTATAGATATAATCAACAATTTATGTAATTATTTTTTCAATCGATAAGTTATTATCGATTGTAATTATAGTCTTC